TTTAACTCTAAATCTGCACTGTCAGTCATGTTGACTCGAGATCCTTTGTCCATGCTCACTGTAGAGCTGGTGGTGTTCCACAAGATCGCTTGACAGTTTCTTACCTTGTGATATGTTGCTTATAAACATGCCCATTCTGTACCATACCACCCATGGACTACATGGGTAAAGCAGAAAGGGATTGCTGCCCATTCCTGCCATGCATCGACTGAATAACTAGGTATAGTCTGCTTTTCAAAATAGGGTTTTTTGGTCACCCATTGCATAGTTTCTAGTGATGACATTCCTCTGGGCTCTCCAATGCATTGTCACCCTCCTTTCGTTGAGGGGAGTATGGGAGTCCTTACCACTTCCAGTTCCAAGCCGCTGGGGTGGTTGACGAAGGAGGCACCCTCCTGAATGTGTTCCACACTTTAAAAAGAAAAATTCAAAACATTCAGTTGAGAGTAGGGTGGTGGTGTTCTGCTGGTGTTGAGGAGTTGAGTCTTCGCCTTGCTGGTTGACGTGGCCTCCTGATCATTAAGTTATTAATTCTACAAGGGAATATTTTAAAAAAATCCTGAATTTCCACTAGTGTGACCCACATGACACATTTTGTCTTAGCATGTCATCATCCATATTTTATCCATCACCTCTTGAAAATGTACGAAGCTAAACGTAAATTACTCTATAAAATCATTCTTGTTCAGACAAATGATAATTTTTATAGTCTTCAATTTTGTTTGGTTACAGAGCTATTGAATATAAAATCAGTCCCCTTCTGCCACACCCACCTGTCACATCCTCTCTTTTACAATTCGTTGATAGTTCTCTCTTATGTTTCATTATATATTACTTATAATCAATAGAAAGTCCAGGTTTTCATCTATAAAATTTATCTATTTAATTAAATAAAAATTATTAAATGCATTACTATCTATAGCAGTGATTCCCAACCTGTGGTCCCTGGATCCCTGGGGGTCTGCGAGGTTTATAATACCATCTCATGAAACAAAGTAAGTTTTTAATTCTGCTGTTCTTTTAATTGCACACTGAGTTACATATGTCTTTTATTTGATAGTGAAAAATGGAAAAACAAGTTAATTATTAGTAAGAAAAACAGTTTGTTGGGTAGATGGAATCTTTCAAAAGATGGTGAAAAGGTTGGGAACTGCTGATCTGTAGTATAAACAATTAGGGATAACTCTCTTCAAAACCCAACAGCAAGAAATATAAATTAGGTAAGTACTTTATTTCTTGTTTATTCTGAACAGAATATCATCAGTTTCACTCACAGTACAAGATTCATTCCCATGGGAAAGTTAATGACTAGCTTGGATGAATTTGTAATGGCTCTTATCGCATAGTTATAAAGCCAGGAAAATTTTGAGATGTAAGGTTGATTTAGATTTATTTCGATTTTTTTTGGTGGCTATGAGGTCGGTCGATTGACCAATCCTATGTTAAGATAGGGTTGAGAAAATAACTATAAAGTTTTACTGAAAAAATAAAAAACTTTGAAATGCACTTAGGAGGTTTTAGGGATTACACAAAGGAAACTTGAGATTTTGAGATGAGGAAAGGTATTTTTAATTTTAAC